TCATTTTGTTTATCAGCTATGGCTGATTGAATAGTGTTCAGTAGCAATTGGTTTAATCCAAGTTAATGGGTAAAAGTGCCCTAAAAGCTGTTGCTGAAAATAGTGTCTTATCAACAGGGGCACTCTCAGGTGAGTGAGGTCTACCTAGGCAATAAACCTGTCTGCAGAGCTCACAAAGCTGTGGCAGCCTCCCCGAAAGTGTTGGGTTTGGTAACACCTCCCATGACTAACACAGCACTTATTATAACTCTCTCTTTTTCTCCTCTAGGCGCATGAGACGTTTGGCCAATACTGCTCCGGCCTGGTAACCTTCCTGTTGTGACACTGGTGCTCTTCCTACAGACTTTATCCCTACTCCTTTCCCTAAATGGATCTAGGATTGGCAGGGGTCTTTCTGTCCCTGAAGGGGACACACATTCCACTTGCCAAGAGTTCCCAGTACTGCTGACTCCTGCCCCCACCCCCTCCACCCAAATGCCACGTACCAAGAACACTGCATTAGCAGCGTGATCTAGCCGAGACCCACGGCAGGTGCTGGAGCCCTTATATACCTGTGTGTGGACAGTGTAAAGATTCTTTTGTATAGGTGCAACATGCACTATTAGGACAACTTTTTAAATAAAAGGAATGCATACTATTTAGGCTGAGTTCAGTAAGTTTGAATGAAAAGTGAATGTCACCATGCTTTGTGCTGGTTTGGTAACTGAGCAGTCCCCAGGCCTAATGTTAATGCTTTTGGGTACAGTGCTGCACACTCACATGCATTCAGTTTTCCTGCGTGCTTTACTTCAACAGGTAAAACAGCCCAAAACCTTTTGCAGTATGGGAAACTGAGAATGAAACTTAAAACTAGAAGCAGCAAAGAACTAAAGGATTGGTCTGTTACTACCCTTGGCACGGTCTAATGAACTCAGTGAGATATTCAGGTGCTTTACTTGACAAGGTAGAACAGTTAACTGAAATCAGAGACTTAAGTCAATCTGGTGTGTGGTGAACCCTTGTTTTCTGTGCAGACTGCATCTGGAAAACAGTTAAGTCTCTGAACTGGTGCAGCAGTTGAAGTCTGTAGTCACTGAGACTGCAGCTTCTCTACAGCCAGTGGCTTTGCTGCGGTCACCACCAGAACACAGATGCCAGCTGTAGTGCACAGAGCCCTCAAAGCAAAATGGGTGTCTTGAATAACCTTATAGCACTGTACTGTCAGGATTTGTAACCCTCGAAGCAACCTATCTTTCCCTGTGGAATGTAAAAACAAAATCCATTGAAGTGAGATTAAAAAACATCCAAGCTTGCTTAAAAACTAATTAGAATCAACCTTACTGTTGAGGTACACCAGGTCTTTGATACAGTTCCTAGCATTCACTGCCAGAACTGATGAGTAGTGCAAGCAGGGCAGATTTTGCTGGCAGCCTGACAGTTACGTTCAGGCCTTTATGATAAAGCCATAGGTTTTATGATCCTTGCTGATCCACCCACACTGCTAGCACAGTCAAAAAACACTTTCTGGCCTTAATTTATCATGTTTAGACTTGAGTAATAACAGAGCCAGTTCTGATTCCTGGGTGGGAGGAACTTTTTCCGGATGTTAGTCTGCAGAAACCAAAAACTTGCAATTTAGCAATATTATTCAGTCTTATCCTAGGCTCCTGTGCCAGAGTGGTACTCTATCCATTACTCCTTATTAGAGAGGTTGAAAGGTTATTTGAGCAAGACAAAACCTGGGACTCCTGCCACATCTTAGCCTCCCATGTAGAGCACATATGTTGTCTCACAGACATAAAAACTCCAAGTCTTCCTGAGAACACTTCAGCCTCCCTTTGTTATATGACCAGGGACCACTGCCAGCAGCCTCTTCAGGGAATTTGACTGAAAAAAAAGAGTGTGAAACTGCCATAGCCTTAAACTAGCATTCTGATGCAGTTTTTTTTAATTGCTGTGAAGCTTGTGGTTACCTAATCCTAAAGTTCACAACAAGGTATGGGTACACAAGGACTGCAGCACCTCCCTCTGCTTCTCAAGCCCCAGAGAGGCTGTAGGAATTGTCCCTCTAAGCAGCCAGGGGAAAGGCAGAACCAGACCAGGGGACCAACTCCCAGAGAACTTCAGTCAGCTTTCTCCATGTATTAGGACTACTGGGTGTGCTGGTTTGAGCTGAAGTAGAGTTAACTTTCTTCATAGAGGCTAGTATGAGGCTATGTTTGGGGTTTGTGCAGAACACAGAGCTGATAATGCAGAGATGTTTTTGTTATTGCTGAGCAGAGCTTACACAAAGTCAAGGCCTTTGCTGCTTTCCATACTGCCACGCTGGCAAGGAAGTTGAGGGTGCATGGGAGATTGGGAGGAGACACAGCTGGGACAGGTGACCCAAACGGACCAAAGGGATATTCCATACCATATGACATCATGCTCAGTATATAAGGTGGGAGGAAGAAGGAGGAAGGGGGGACATCTGGAGTGATGGCGTCTGTCTTCCCAAGGAATCGTTACGTGTGATGGGCCCTGCTCTCCTGGAGCTGGCTAAACACCGCCTGTCTTCAGGAAGCAGAGACTTAATTACTTGTTTTGCTTTGCTTGTGTGTGCAGCTTTTGCTTTCTCTATTAAACTGTCTTTATCTCAACCCATGAGTTTTTGTAGCTTTTACTCTTCTAATTCGCTCCCCCATCCCATTGGTGGGGGAGTGAGTGAGTGGCTGTGTGGTTCTTGGCTGCTGCTGGGGTTAAACCACGACCCTGGGGAATAGATAGGAGCAGCTTTCCTCCACTACTGTGATTACAGACAACTCACTGGGTTAATCTGGTACCCTAGCTAAAAGCATAGCCCAGCCTTTGCGTTTCTGCAGACTTCAAAGACAAATTCTCTGGAGAGTGAAACAGCAGTTCTGTATCAGGTCATGAGTGAAGTATCTGTCAAGTGATACTGCTTAGCCCTTAGTATCACTGGGTCTTCTAGAACAAGATTACCACCCAGACAGGGCTTTAATCCTCTCCCTAGAGGGAAAGATAAGTGCAGTAGAAGAGTTTGTTCAAATTACATCTGATTTTCAATAAAAAAAACCTGTTTTCATGGAAAGGCCACAGAGGAACAGAGACTGTGTGTGTGTGCATTTCAGACTTATCCCCAAGGCTCCTACATAATTCTTAATCAGATGCTGGTTACTCACATTTCTCTTCATAGTTTGGTGGTGGCTTGCAAGTTTGCCTGAGCAGACAGCAACAGTGTCAAGTGAGCTGTCCTAAGATATGACATTTGCAGATTTACTCTGAAGGCCTTGAGGTCGGGTATGAGCACAGTGTGTACTGCCTTAGCAAGAATGATCAAATCTGTTCAGCTGTCAGGGGAGGGACTAGCATGTTTAGTTTTCCTCTGAAACTCAGATGTTTAAGTTTCAGAACTAAAAAATTCAACAAGAGTGGAATTACACTGCAGGTGCAGACAGTCTTTATTACTAGTGTCAAGTGCTGCTTCCAGTCACTGCCTGGATCAAGTGTCCAGCTCCGTCCATTGTCTTTTCCCAAGCACCCCTTTCTCCAGTTAGACACCCCACACAGTCCTCAAGCTCCGCAGCCCTCCTGACAGAAGAGGGGAAGGACATCTTCCAGCTAGCCTGAACTCTGCCTTGCCCACCAGAAAAGAAAAATCCCAAGCAACATGGCAGTTTTGAGCAAATTCCTGATGAATTGCTGCCTCTGCCCCTGGCAGAAATGGACACACAACTGAAAAATAAAGACTTTAATGTAAAGACTCCTTTGGAAACAATCACCAAAAAAAAAAAGAGTGGGGGACTTAAAGGAAAGGAAGAGGTGAGGCTGAGCTGCATTCTACCATGGTACAGCTGAGAATACTACTTCATTGAAAGCCCACAGAGAGGTCTCACAACAGTGAGGGCCAGGTGAATTAGTCTTTGTACAGAGGGCAAGAGTGACCTGGCACATGGCAAGTCATTAACAGCAAGAGAAGGAGTAACTGGTTTAAAACCCCATTTGATACTTAGTCCCCACCAAGTAACTGAGAAGCCATCACAGCTTCCATCCTGGTCCCTAGAACACCTCCAAAAGCATTCATCAGTTCTCACGTGGAACCACTTGGTATAAGGGGAGGATGTGTTACCCATACAAACAGCGACACATTACATCGGAATGGCAACTGGTGTTATTCCAGTAGATCTCTGGGCCACAGCATAAGTCCAGCTGGAAGAGAGGAATCACACGAAGAAGTCCCTTGTGTTACTGTGGATGCTGCTGCTCGTTCTGGTCTTGGTCTCTAGGCTGGTGTTCTGCACGATCCTCAGGGAGAGGATTATAGTTGGGATCCTCTTCAGGTGTGTCAAATACCATCTTCCTGGCAAGGGACATGCCCATCCCATCAGGCAGGCAGGTTAGGAAAGTGAGCTGAGGATGACAAATGCCCCAGCCCTCCTAGGAACACCCCGGTCTTTCACAGGGCCAGCTGTAAGCCACAGCCACCAGCCTACTGCACCACCACCAACCATTCTTTTGCCCAGCTCAATACACAATGACAGTACCTGCTTCCTTGATCTCTAGGTCAGACTTGATCCTTAGTGCATGAAGCAGAACATATTCTGCTTTCTTAGACTACAGACATACGTCACAAAAAATCCTACCTGTATCTAGCATTTCTACAAGCAGTAAGAACATACAGTTCTACTAGCAAAGCTGAAGGTATCAGCACTTGCTGTGTAGGCCCTGTGTACACATGTATGTGATGTGCAAATAATGCAGCAGAGACATCAGCTGAGGGGCTGAGGTGCTGTCAGCATGCCACTGTGTCCTGTGGTCACCCCCCATGGTCACAGACCACAGTTTGCTATGGAAGTGAGCCACGTTGGGAAAGTCCACAGCAAAGCCCAGAAAGAATCAGCTTTACTTACAGAAAGCCAGGGGTTAACAACAACTTCTTTCCTCCAGGCTGGTTGGGGAAAACATCTTCCAAGAAATAATAGATGTGACCCACTGCAATTCCTGGGGAAGAGATGCCACCAAGGTCAGGTGCAGCTGTGACTCCTTTGCCAGCAGAACCGGAACTGCTGGGAGCCTAAGCAGGATAAAGCTCCCGGAATCCCCCAGCTGTGTACCCACACCCAGCTCCCACCAGAGCCACAGATGCTGAAGTTTGCTGTGATCAGCACATGGGCAGGCAGGGAGCCCGTCAGCCCGAAGGCAGCACCAGATGCCCAGGAGAACAGACACAGCAGAAGGGTCAGGCAGAGCTCACCATACCCAACTCTGTCCCTGAGGAAGGCACACCAAAAAGCAGGTCACAAGCAAGAGCCCAAGCTCAAGCCTGGCCACCCAGCGACCCCAGCCAGCTCACTTGAGGAAACCCATCATCTTAAGATGAAACCAAGGGGTTAGTGCCCCAGTAGCACCTGTGAGAACTGAGAGTGCTGTGGCTGCAAAGTGCCCTAGTTCCCAGCACCCACCAGCTTTGACTTACCCAGCAAGTCAATGATGATGGAGTTGCCCAGGAGCAGAGAGAACCCCATCAGGACCCATGGCAGGAAGGGGGCTTGGAAGTTGAGAAGCCCAAAGAAGTTCATGCGGATATAAGGGTTCCTGCGACTCCACACGTACACCAGCATGATGGTGAAAGCCTGGCCCAGGAAAAACAGGCTGGCAAAGAGTCCAAATAGCTAGGAACTACCGAGTCAAGGAAAAACAGACCCACCCTGTGCACCACCTCCAGGCAGCACAGGGTGCCTTGTGACTAAGAAACCCAAACTTAAGGTAGCTGATCACAACGTTCATGATATTACCCATGGTACCAAACCCTTCCAGGCCTGGCTGAGACGCACTGACCACTCTCCCTGAACACATTTCTCTCCCCTCCCAGAACAAGACCCTCTGGAGTGGCATGTACAGGTTGTTCATCCCATAAGCTGATGTCTACAACCAGGGACCAGACACCAGGGAGTTCATATAATCACTTCTACAAAATGAACATCAAAATGACCTTCAGAGAAGGGTCTTCACAGTCTTACAGCACTTAGTACAATGGCACATATTAACAACTAGCTCACATCCAGTATCTGTCTTCTACAGAGGAATTTCAGAAGGAAAATGGCTCTTGCAACTCACAGCCCTCTTCTCCAGGACACAAGGAGACAGACAGAGGCAAAAAATACCCCTGCCCTTGCTGTAGTTGAATTCCAAATCCATCTTTGGCTGAGCATGTGGCTGCTACAGGCATCTGGACTGGCCAAACACATGAGAGTGGCCAACAGCCATGAGAGTTCACACAGCTTCATAGAGAGCTGTGTGGGGACAGCAGTGCTCTGAGCCACCTGCGTAAGACAGCGGAAGACACTCAGAAAAGGTTTATGCTTGGGAGGGAGATATTTCTCCCCAGTAGACTACTTTGTCCTACAATAAAAGAACCCCTTAAGATGTGTGACAGTACCTCCAGCCACCAACAGACTGCAGGGACAGAGTGCTGGGTTTGCACTGCCTGACCTGCTGACAACAGAGAGTATGTAGACACCCCACTCCTTGTCCTCATGGCTCCATGCTCTTGCCTTCATCTGCACTTGTTTTCTGAGCCAGCCTCATGCAATCATAGCAGTGCTCCAGCACGCTCCACCCACCAGAGCTCAGGAGTGGCCCTGCTGCAGCTGGACCAGTTCTCAGAGTGTTACACGTGGCTTCCTTTCAGGCTGAGCTTCCCAAGCACACTGCCACACGTCCTCTTCTGGGAGCAGGCAGCCCAGCCCCTTGCCAGGTGCATCAGCACTTCTGTAGACACGAACACAACCACCGGCAGCTTCTCCTGTATTTCGCTCTGCTCTAGGCACACTAGGTGAGGCACAGGCCAAGACAAGGCTGGGCAAGATGAGGAGCAAAAGCTGTGTCACACAGCCAGAATCTGCCCCTCCACATGCTCAGCAGAGCTCTCCCACACATGAGCCTAGCAGGCCTGGAGCCCCACAGCACCAAGAAGGTTCACAAACCTTCTTGGTGCTGCTCAGCAGGCAGGTACCTGCTCCAGACCACACACTACAGCTAGGATGCAGAAAGGTAGCAGACAAGCCCCACACTGTTCACAGCATCTCAGAAAACCAACTCAGAAGGATACTGTCATGAGAAACCCTCCAAAGAGGAACATGAAGACAAAGTCAGCCGTCCTTCCACGGAAGGAGCCTTCTTCTAGCATGCGGCAGTACCTGTACCTGAGAGCAGGAGAGAAGGAAGGGGTTGCAGTATAGGAAATTAACAGCTGTCCACCCAGAGTCCCCATGGCATGACTTCCTGGGAGTAAGCCACTGCAAATTATTTCATCACAGGAAGCTTTCAGCCAGGTGTCCAAGTCCCAGAGCAGAACAGTGCAAACTTCACCTCACACCACTGGCCCCAGGGCAAGAAAGAGACATCTGCTGTGCTCCAGCCAGAGCTCACCCCAGGAATAGGCACTGCCCTCCAGCGTGGGCTGCAGCAGCACTGCCAGCTTCCTCAGCCTTTCAGCAGGGGCTGCCCTGCAGCAACCAGAGGTGGAGGGGCAGGAGCAGGGCACAGTTGTTAGGGGAATGGCATCAATTCAGACCAAAGCAGCCAAGCAAAGAACCCCCACCCCTAGCCTGCTGCAAAGGCAAGTCAGCCTGGGGAGGAAGATGGATGGGGGAAAGCACATCTAAGCCAAAACAGGAGCAGAGAGCTCCTGAAACCAAAGGATACAGAAATATCATGTTGAAAAAGAAACTGAATCCCAGGGGCCCAAAAAAGAGGAAGTTGGTGATCAGCCTCCATATCTGAAAGAGAAGAGAGGAAAGAGAAAAGGAGGTGGACAGAGAGGTCTCTCCCCATCACATGGAGAGCAGCCCATCATCCTATCCATGGGGGATGCCCAGTTATGCACTTGTCCACACAGATCCATCCCACGACACTTGACAGCTGCTCCACCCTTGTCTGGGACCTCCCTCCACTGCCCACATCAGAGTATCCTGCCTTTCCAGGTGGGGGAAAGGTTTCTGGAATTGACAAACAGCCACGATTCAGCACCCGGGGCCAAAGTAAATCACTGTTCACACCCCTGTACAGTAAAGCCTTCGTCAACCAGCCCACAACAGCTGCCACACATCTATAGTGTCACACAGAAGGAAGAGCTGGGATTTGAGTAAAGTAAAAAAGGAAATGCCAAGATGGTGCGTGCCAGGGAAAGGCTGCAAGGAGACACCTCCATCCAGGCACTTGTGACAAGCGGGGACACTGTGCGGGTGACCCAGCTCGAACCGATCAGGGAAGGTTGGAGTAGTGTGAAACGAGCCCCTCGGGATGACACAGCACTCCCCGGGGAGCAGCACACCCAGCGCCCGGACCGCCGACCCACCCCTCGCCGGGAAGGGGCACGGGGAGGGGCAAGGCCTCACCTGGAACTTCCTGAAGATGAGGTCGGGGTTGAAGTACAGCTGGAAGGGAGTGATGAACTCCAGCTGCTGTAGGAGACAGGCAGAGCGGCTGCCATCACTCGCCGC